TAAATTACCTCCTTATTTGTTAAATGCTTTCTTTTTTAAATAGTCCTAGTAATTGCATCCCATGCTATTAGTTATTCTCTGTTGTTTACTTTGCCCAATGAGTAGTCTTGGGGATTGAGAACATACATGTGACAAACTTGATTTTTTTTTCTGTAAAATGTCCTGGAACATTATATGGTTCTTCCTTACAGGAGGTAACAAGTAGTTTTGATGCTGGGTTTTCTATTGAAGGATGAATTAGTGATCTGAAATATGGTTAATTTTGTGATTGAACTTTATATTCTCTACACACTAATTTGAACAGAGGTTCACAGAGGCAGTGTCTTCCCCAAATTCTTAGTTCCTACACCAGTATGTGATTTTCAGAAAATGATCCCTTCCCCAAATTGTCATCTGTTGGGAAGGATAAAGAAGAGCACAGACTATTCTGTTGTTTGAAAATAACGAAGTTGCTACCCTGCCACTTCGTAAAAAGTCGTTAAAGAGAGTGTTTGTGAACAGTGCTCAGATGTGAGGAATAAGGATTTGTCAAATTTGCCTAATGACTGCATAACTAATGAGTAAGATCTGTGGTCATTTCTGTAATGCAAACATTTTTCAAAATTCATACTTGTCTTTTATTACTGTTAGTATACACTCAAAGTGTGAGCATATTAAACAACAGTGGCAGCACCACTGTGTTCTTGTGAATGAAACATCTCAAATTCTATAACCAGAGAGATGTCTCAGCATATCCACCCTACAGGTGCTTTTCTCTGGCCAAAGAAATATCACGTTTTCAGTGACATCATGCTCAGCACATTTGCACTTTGATTTCTGTATAAGGAATTATTGTTCCTCTCATTTCTGCCTCTGTCAGGTCCTTCTGATGCATTTTGTAATTCCAGGACTTGGCACTCATTTCTCACTGACATACAAGTCACATTACAGAGTTGCTTTGCCATCTTTTTGGATGAGTGTGAATAACAGAAAGTTGACAAAACTGCTTTTCTTCACCCTGGTTAATTTTAAGCAATTACATAATTTAGGGTTCACAGAAGCTAATTAAAGTTGACAGGAAATCTGCATTTTAGGCCTACAGCTTTAACAGATCCTTATCTATAAGCATCTGAAGATCAAGCTTATTTATCTTGTCCTAAAGCAACACACTAGAAATTTTTCTTTCCTGAAAAAATTACCATCTGCTGCAATTTAAATAACTAACATGAACTCCAGAGAAATGGCCACTTGGTCTGTAAAGAACATTCTAATAAGGCTTTTGACCATAAAGCTAAGCTCAAACCCTTTCAAAGACAGAATGTTGTAGCGAAACTGAGAGCAAATCCATTTAAACTTTGGACTTATATTTGAGCCAGGGAACATGGGACAGTTTAGTCTTGCAAAGCCAAATTTCTACAGTCAAGATTTCTTAAAGAAAAACTAGTCAGAGTGCCTTCATCTGCTAGAGAATACTGAATTTTGGCCTTTAGAATCCTAATGATTAAGTTTCAGTTCATCAAACACATACATTCTTAATATGGCTTTGGGGAGAAAGAATTTTTTTTTTTTCTTGAAATGCATGGATTACAAATTTACAGCTGTATCTCTTACCTTGCATAAAACCAGCACTCATTAATATTCCTTCCTAACTCCTCCTGCAAAGTCTCAGTATCACTGCTAAGGACATCAGTCAGTCCTTGTTTGATTTATTTTAACCAATCACTGATGAAGCTGGTGTTTTTCAGCCATGTGCAACAACATCATGTATCCTATTCTGTTTGAAATGATTGTCCCTCTATACTGGCACAGCGCACTGACAAGCAGCAGAGCTGCAAAGGGAAATGCCCTGGAGTCACTGGAGACAGGGAGAGATTCAGAGAGGAATCCAGAGGGGAATTCATTGCTATCAGCACCAGAGAGTGGCAGCCAGTTGTGACTCTGCAAAATGCTGTCTCTAGCCAGCTGGTGACAGTCCTTCATGGGAACTGTGCAAATGGGAGCACTCAGAGAACGGAAACAAAAATGAATAACTTTTGTTATCAGAACACAGCATATTTGGAGGCTGTGGATCCTTTAGAGATAGGCAGATATTCAAAATGAGATTCCCTACTGGACTCAAAGGAACTCTCAAAGCAGCTGCTAGATTGTTTCATTGATGGAGAGCTGTGGACCTCTGGAGGAGGAAATGTAACTACTTGAAATAGAGGGTTTGGTGGAAAATTCACGACAAACAATTCAAAACACTAGCTATGATCTATTTTATCTGAATCCCTTATGGAAAATACAGAGTTTATTGGTGTGTTTCTGGAGCACTGGAGATGGGTTATGGGTTTGCCATGTTCGGGAATGGAGGCCGTGTTTTTCCACATGGGCAGCACAGCGTGGAGCAGCCGTGCCTGATTTCCCAAACACAGTAAATGTGAGCAGCAGAAAGCGCCTGCTGGCTCCTAGGCTGGCTGGAATGGCCAAGTGTGTGGGAGGAGTGGCTCCCGCTTCCAGCTGGGCTCCTGATGTTATTGTTTGTGACAGTCACTGGGACTTCTCCCTGCTCAGAGCTGGTTTCGCAGCCCAGCCGGTGCCCGTGTGACATCAGCTGCGAAGCCAGCGAGCGCAGGTGGGCGCAGCCGTGTCAGTAGCGCCGCTCAGGGAAGTGACAAAGTCTCTCAAAGGCCCCTGTGCCCAGCACCCCCAACAGGAGCCCCTGGTGCTGAGGCAGAGACGGGACTGGGGCACTGGGGTGAGTGAATGCCTTGTAGTCAGTCACACATTTAAGGAGCATACAGGAAACACAGCCCTCAGGCCTTGTGTGATTCATCTCCCGGAGAACCTGACACAGCGAAGGGCTGAGGAACAGCCCCAGCACAGGAACCATCTCCTGAGCCAGCTGGGGCTGAGCAACCACAATAGACACATGCACAGAGGGAAGGCTTTTCCAGTATTAGAACTGCTTTTGATTTTAGTGACAGTTAGCTCTCAAAATAAAACTTCTCTCTTTTCCAATAACATCAAAAGGGTTTTTGTTAGTCACGAGTAAATGCAAATTGCTTTCAGTGTATTTTTCTTGAACTAGATTTAAAAGACCACAGATAGTTCGTACATTTATTATGGACAATTTTTTTCTAAAATGTCTTTTTATTATGACAGAGAGGACGAAAAAAGGGAGAATTGGGACAGAGAGGGAGGAAACAACTGTCTGCTTTTCTCAATGTATTTAATTAAGTAGGAGGATTTTTCAAGCTTGGATAAACTTCCAGGTATTCACTTAAGCATATGTTTTGCAGGAGAAATTTTAGACTGCTGATTATTGTAATGACTAATTAGAAGTTAAAAAAATATGATAAAACTAAAGTTAAAATCTGAGTTTAAATTTGCCTACCAATTAGACCAACATATTTGGAATGTCTTCTTATGTTCAGAGAGAATTTTGCCTCACACAGCTCTAGGAGTATCTTTTTCTGCAAGTCTTGCTTGTGATCTGTTTGATATTCTATGAGAACACGGGAAAAATTATCACAGTTACCTGAGCCAGGCAAATAAAAAAAGAAGCTCACAGCAGCTTTCCGTTTTTTGCATTTCAAGTTCATTTTTCAGCAGGGATGTTTGGATATCCAGATGCCTCTTAATGAAACAAAATTTTCAGAGATTTGTCTGGTTTTGCTCTCTATATGAACACCTACTCACCTAAAACTGTGTTTCCATTTTTGCTAATTTACATAAGTAAACCTTAATTTTTAATTGAAGTTATTACTCCTATTAAGTCTTTTGGGATGCCTAAATGAAAATTCCATGGGTCTCTTTAATGGCTATAATTCGAGGCTATTTTTTTATCGTGGTCAAAATTATTCTTCTGGATTCCCAGTTAATTGTGAAGATAATGCAATGTGGCAGGTCAGAGGCAACAATGACATTGCTAATGCCAGGCTGCAAGGTTAGCCTGTAAGTAGCTGAGATGGCTTGAATATTTTGAGTAATTAATTTATCTGTTTATTGATGGGTTGTCTATGGTACTGACTTTTATAATGCAAAAATGTCAATGTTTTCGTGATGATGATCGTAAGAAAATGTTATTAATAGTACATTTTTTACAGCCCTGCAGTGATTTACAGCCTATGTCAGACTTTTTAGAGAGATTCTAATTGCCTAGGAGCTTCAGTCTTAGGGCAACCCAATAAATTTGAATGCCTAAAAGTGAGTTTTCTAGGCAGGTAGCTGCATTTTTTTCTTGGCAATAAAAGAAATAATAATTGCCAAACTGTATTTGAAAAATTTACCCTACCACTGGTATTAATTTTAATTTTTAATGTTCAAATATTGTGTAATGGACGCATTGAAACTGTTGATTTTGAAGCTGTGAATGTCCAAGTCCAGAAGTGCCCATTTGGATGTGTCACAAGGAGTTTCCACAGCTTTCCCTGGCAGAGGCAGCTCAGCTGAGCAGGCTGTGTGGAGCCAGGCACAGGTGCTGCTCAGGGCTCTGCTGGCAGAGCCTGGCCACTGTCACTGTGACCCTGGTGTTCGTGCACAGCAGCCTGGCAGGGACACGCTGCTGCTCACTGCTCAGCTCTTCTGGAGCTGCCAGCCCAGGAAATTCTTCTGTGCCTCTGACAGGTCCTGAGCTGCTCTAGGTTTGCTCCTGCCTTTTAATCTTGGTGTACAGTTTGTGTGATTGGTGCATTGTAGTGCTAGATTCAGCCCTAAATTCCAGTTTCATTGTAGCATTTTCCTAGTTTTGAAGAGGAAGTGATGGGATTCCTTTAGGAGGAGGAGGAAGAGAAAATAGAGTTGTTCTGTGAATGTGGAAGTGCCCAGGTGATAAAGGGCAGGATGCTGACAGGTTTCTCACCTGAGGGAGTCTGGCTGGGTTTTAGGATTAAGGACAGGAACAGAAGAGACAGAGGTGCTATCTTGAAATCATTTGCTTTATTACTGTGTTGGCTCTCTTTATACCTATGTTCAATTTCTTTTCCCTTTTTGAGTTAACTGGTATCTTCTTAACTAATATGGCTTATCTTTAATGAAAAGATAAATTGATTTTTGGATTAAACTTTAGTGTTATTTGTTTTGTTAGGAAAGTAGTAACTGCAGAACTGCTGGTTTCAGGGTTCTCTTTTTTTGTTTTAATCACATCTGGGAATTCATAGAGCATCTTATTGTCAGTCTTAGCACATATTCAGGTTAGTAATTTAGGAAATGTATTCCTGTAATTCATAAACCAGTGAGGGTTATTGAGATATTTTTAATGCATCCAATTTCTTCCACAGGGACTGCATAGACTATGAAGAAAATTAGAATCTCCTTGTCAAAGATGGGGCTAAGACACAAAGCAAGTTCAAAGAAGATGACAGCCAGGTAAGATTTGAATTTTCTCTTTGAACATCTTGCTAGAGCCACATGATTCTAGACAGTCTTCCTTTAAAAAAATTCCATTAAATTGAAACAAAATAGGATTGAAATGAAGTTTGGTACAAAATTTAGTAGAGATCTGCTTCTCAATCTCCTCTTCATTACTTTAATGATCAGGAGCTAACAAAAAGAATCTGGATTCATTCCAAGCTGTGGTACTAAACTGTGAGCTCACCAGTTTCATTAAGGTGCCTGGTAGGTACATGTGGAAAACTTGGAGTAGGCTCTGAGAAGAGCAGTACGTGGGTGGAGAGCCATCCAAGGCAGAGTGGTAAAGAAATACTGGGAACACATGCAGGAATTAAGCGTGCTCCTCTCTCTCCATTTGTGCTAAAGGCATCCATGCCCTGTCTGTCTGGAGTGCCTTATAGAAATGGATTCAAAATTCACTAGGAAAAACAAGTATGATTGTTTAAATTGATGCTTGTATTACTGGTGGAATTGGGTCTTAATAACGAGGCATGCTTATGTTTATGGCAAAAACTATCACTAGTTAAAGTGTATGATCATGGAGTCATGGAATATCCTGAGCTGGAGAGACTCACAAGGATCACCAAGTCCAGCTTGGTGCTGTGACCACTTCCCTGGGGAGCCTCTTCCAGTGCCCCAGCACCCTCTGGGTGAATGATGACATTTCAAAGGCATGTTATTTCCAACTGCAGATCATCCTATGTACAATCAATTTCCTTTTCTGGATGAATTCTGTAAGGTTCAGCATCTGGGACAGAAGCATTCCCCTTCATGAATGATTTTTTAAGACAGACCAAAGAACCTGTTCTTTCTGCGAGTAAAACAATGATCACTGCCTTTAAAAAACATGCTTTTCTCCTGGGAGAAAGTTTTATTCATCACGAGTTGGTTTTATTTTTTTTCCCTTATAATAGGGGTGTTATTTATAAAAGTTCTTGAAGTGAATCACAGAATTCTGAACTTTGAAACTCTCTACAAATAGCAATGAAACTTGCCTAAAGTGTAAATGAGCAACAATTTAAATATTAACTATCAGTTGATATTTCACATTGCTTCCCACATACTCATTTATAAAACAGTCAAGCTGCAAGCTTTGTATAAATAGCATTTACTTACTGCCATGGTTTAATTGAAAGTTTGATGTTTGAAGATGGTTAATGCTGGTACATTAACCATGGAGCTGGTAGTGACTGTTACACTTGCTGTGTCATAGCTCCACTGTGTAGTCTTGAGACATGACTAAAATTAATGGTGTGCCATTCCTGTAACTTGAATTGTTATAATCTCTAACAGGGATATTATAAAATTGATAATTCTTTTATCATACAGCAAAATTGTATTGGTGTGCTTACACGTAACTGGAGTGCAGCAAGAACATGTTTACAGAGTTCTTCAGCTTCTGGGAATTTGAAACCATCAGATTCTACAGTGGGTGAATTAAAGATAGTGGCTAACCAGACTCCATTAATATACAAATTAAATTGCCTTGAGTAAAGGAAAAAAATATTAGAAAGATCAACCCTTACTTGTCTGGGACACTATTTTGCAGTGTTTTTTATCTGTACCAAACTGGGCCATTAATGTCTCTAATACTATGGGTTGTTCACCAATAGTACAATTAAAGCCACAGTTACAGAAAGGCATCTGATAGCCTAGGTAAGCCAAGTATTTAAAACATGTTTTGTGCTCATACACAAAGTGGCAAATTTGTTTAGCTGCAAAATATAAGATGTATTGTAGGTGCCACATGTGTAGACATTTCAGTTTTAAGCACTACATGCTTCTGTGAGCCAGAGGATATATAAGAGTTGAAGCTGTTAATCATTTGCAATTAGTTACAGTCATAGCACATGGCCAGAGCCAGACTCTCTGCCAGTGTTCCTTCAGGCTTCCCTTGTGCTGCTGCCCACTCGTGAAGCTAAAGGCTCTCAGGTGAGCCTTTTTATTTATCCTTCCACTTTTGAGTGACAAGTAAAATATCTTCTCACTGAAAATCTTGCTGTCGTGTTCCTGATACTGTAATATTCCCTTGAGTTTTCCAGATACAAACAAAGATGATTATCTCAGTGTGCAGGTGACTCCATTCCTGTTCCTGTTGCTTAAATCTTCCCTTGAATCCTCAGCTGTTCCCCTGTAGCTCTGGAGCCAAAGACAGGCAGGAGGAGCTTCACAGCCAACATTAGATGGATGAGGGCTTTTGGTCTCTGCTTGGACATTGCTCGTGTGCCAGAGAGATGTCTTATTTGTGGAGTTTCTCCTACTTTAGTGTGCTTTACTCGGAACCAAGCTGTAGCAATGCAAGGGGAGGAGCACTTTTTGCCCTGCTATGGAGTTTGCCATGTGGAGTTCCTGCCCATTTGTGTCAGGCAATGCCAGCCTATCCCCAGAAGACCTCAAGGTCTTCTGACTTGAACTGAATCTCTGTGTTTGCCCTGGTTAATGGATTTGTCTTAACAAGTGCTGTCCATAAGGCATAATCTTTTGACTTAGTGAAATAATTTGTATGACTTTCCCTGGGGCTTCCTACCTGCTGAAATCGTTTCCAGAGCTGTCAGTTCTTGCAGACATGCAGCTTGCCTGACTGCCTTTCCCTGACAAGAATAGTGACATCAGGTGGCAGTGGGGCCTCGGG